TGGAATTGACGTTACAGCGGAACGAAGATTACGATATCGACGAATCGGACAGGAAGGGCCAGACAGCGTTAATTTGGGCAAGTGAGTATGGTCACGCGAAGGTGGTGCAGACACTCCTCGAGCGTGGAGCGGATGTCAACGCTCAAGGAGGAGAACACGGCAATGCGCTCCAAGCAGCATCAGAGGGTGGTCACGAGAAGGTGGTGCAGATGCTCCTCGAGCGTGGAGCGGATGTCAACGCTCAAGGAGGACGATGTGGCAATGCGCTCCAAGCAGCATCAGAGGGTGGTCACGAGGAGGTGGTACAGACACTCCTCGAGCGTGGAGCGGATGTCAACGCTCAAGGAGGGCGATGTGGCAATGCGCTCCAAGCAGCATCATTCGATGGTCACGAGAAGGTGGTGCAGACACTCCTCGAGCGTGGAGCAGATGTTAACGCTCAAGGAGGATTTTATGGCAATGCGCTCCAAGCAGCATCAGAGGGTGGTCACGTGAATATAGTGCAGACGCTCCTCGAGCGTGGAGCAGATGTCAACGCTCAAGGAGGAGAATATGGTAATGCACTCCAAGTAGCATCATACGGTGGTCTCGAGGAGATGGTGCAGATACTCCTCGATTGGGGAGCGAAGGTCAATATTCAAGGAGGATTCTTTGGTAATGCGCTCCAAGCAGCATTAGTAAGTGGTCGCGAGAAGGTGATGCAGATGCTCCTCGACTATGGAGCGGATGTCAACACTCACGGAGGAGAATATGGCAATGCGCTCCAAGCAGCATCAGAGGGTGGTCACGAGAAGGTGGTGCAGACACTCCTCGACCGTAGAGCGGATGTCAACGCTCAAGGAGGAGAACACGGCAATGCGCTCCAAGCAGCATCAGAGGGTGGTCACGAGGAGGTGGTGCAGACACTCCTCGAGCGTGAAGCGGATGTCAATGGTCAAGGAGGAGAAAATGGCAATGCGCTCCAAGCAGCATCAGAGGGTGATCCCGAGGAGGTAGTGCAGATACTCCTCGATTGGGGAGCGGATGTTCACGCTTAAGGAGAACGATGTGGTAATGCGCTCCAAGCGGCATCAAAGGGTGGTCGCGAGAAGGTGGTTCAGATGCTCCTCGCGCGTGGAGCAGATGTCCACGCTGAAGGAGGGTACTCTGGCAATGCGCTCCAAGCAGCATCGGTCGGTAGTCACGAGGACGTGGTGCAGATGCTACTGTACGTGACAAGATGTTGTCAAATTAATTAAGGGCCTGGTAAGTTTTGCCAGGCGTTCAACCGCGAGAACTACAGTATCTATGATGTTGACTTAAAGCGAAGTTCTCAATCTTCAGTAGCTATAGGCTATAGCATACACAAATATATTACCCCCCTCTCTCACTACACGGGAACACGGTGCCCACGTTCAGGCTTCCTCTCTGGTTCATTAAGGCGGCAGGACGTACCAATGCACGTGGTTGTGGCGAGTGAGGATTCCGCGGCGATATGCGGGCGTTTGTGGCTTGCCTGTTACCGCAGCTTTGTGTATGACCATACTCGGGCCGGTCCTCGGCTGTTTGTCAGTCAGGGTCGAAGTACCTGATAGGGTGCTCGGTGGCAAGAGATATCAACACTGGCCGCAGACAGCAGCGGCGATGGTTAAGATAATTGGTTGCGAGGTAGATATGCGCGGTTGCAACATCTCTAACATCCTGAAATGATATAAAAGCCGGTATCGATGTCTCCAGGCGGTCGAATGCGTTTTACCTTATTTGGAGATGGCTATGGAAGCTGGGCCTTGAAATTTCCAAAACGTGGTATTGATAATCAAGAGTGAGAAATGCAAGAGATTATTGGATACAGCATATGAGAAGCACATTAGATTGTGTATATGCAGCGCTGGTGGTGTGCAGGGTCAGTTGACACTCGAAGTACCAGCAGTTCATTTCGTCACGAAGGGCATTTCACCATGCCGGGATGTCGATTACAGCTTCTCTAAGTGGTTCACAGATTAGATCCGATGAGGGTGAAGCCGGAAAAATAGTTAATTCGACGACGCTGATTCGGAAAATATTTGATCCGTTAGAGTGGTTCACTCATCGGATCTTGTTGAACTTCGTGGAATTGAAAGAGTGCTCTGGCTCTTCCTCATGAGTGTAGGAGAGAGCCCATCTATATATCTATCTAACGAGCGCACGTCACCATTACTGCCTGTTGATGGTGATACAGTTTATTGAGCGAGTGTTGCAATATATCCTAGTCTGTTGTAAATGATTGGCTAGCATTTGTTCAATGCTATTGTCCAACAATGAGATACTACGACCCATCGGATCCAATCTGTGGATTATCTCGAAATCGAGGCTTGTCGTTCACGTTCGGTTACGATGCATCTCGAGCGCGAGTAGTCAAGTCTGTCTAAGTGGTTCACAGACTGGATCCGATGAAAGGCCGCCACCATCGGATCCAATCCATGGATCATATCGACGTCGAGGCTTGTCGTTCACGCTCGGTTACGAAGCATCTCGAGTACGATTAGTAGAGCTTCTCTGGGTGGCCCACAGACTGGGATCCGATGAGCGACGGGGGGACTTTATCGGATCCAATCCATGAACCACGAGTGGGAGCCCGGGGAGGCACATGGTCCACGGATTGGATCCGATGAGGGTGAGGCCGGAAAATATTTAATCCGAAAATGGTATGTCGGAAAAATAGTTAATCCGACGGCGGTGGTTCGGAAAATATTTGATCCGTAGGGTGGTTCACTCATCGGATCCAATCCACGGACCATGTCGATGTCGAGTAGGAAGGGCGCACCCTCCGGGGGGGGCCCATATGGTTCATAGACTGGATCCGATGGGTGGATCACGTCGATATCGAGTAGAGTGCCTATAGACTGGATCCGATGGCGACGCGGTAGGAACTTCCATATGACAATATCACGTGACTTTTGCCAAGCCGTATGCTTACGTGATCAGCTAGCACGACGGTCTTGGCGTCGCCGCACAACGCCAAGCTGCAACCGGGTGGTTCCAAAATTAAAAAAAAAAAACAAGTTTATATTTTATAATGCCAAAAACTGCTTCAAAATTGACACCAAATCGTGGTTGACCTATCAAGGACGTAACCGAGTGGTAAAACACTCGGCTTACAGTCGAACCGATAGAATTGAGGGGCCTTACTAGTGTTCGATCATAGGTAAGGTAAGAGGGTTGTCCGGCCTAGATTTCTAGGTGCCCTAGATGGGTAAACGTAATGCTCCAGCCAGTGATTGTTGATGTTAAACTGAGTGATACCGAGGGGGGTTCAAACCTTCCTGTCGGTGAACTTGTCTAGCTCAAGCATTCATTGGTTGTGGCGCCCCATTTATCAGTTCGTCAGTGATGGACTATAGGAGGGGAGCTTTGGTGTTGATTATTTTTGTCGAAACGTGTGTGTTGTAGTATCTCCTTCTTTGTGTGTGTGTGTGATAAAAGCCCTTCAAACGGTCTTGGCAGGCCCACTATGGCTGTCGAATAGCCTCGTGTGCCTGCCGATAGCCTTATATGCCTGCGTGGTAGTGAAGTTATAAGCCATTGTTCTTCTACAACTTGTTCTGCCAGCTTGCTGAAATATATACACGTTTAGTTGGCTATCTTCTATATAACAGTGAACCCTTTTCCAATAAAGGGGCACTTGCTACTATTCAGGCGTTCAATGAGACCTTGTGTTGAACAGGGGTGTTGTGTGTATATCCCACCATAGAAACATTGAGACGATGTTACAGATAGTTGCTCTATACAATAATATAGTATTCGTGTGTCTATAAATGGAGCTTCAAGTCCGGTTCACCAAATTCCGCACTACACTTTCGGTCGTCTGGTGGGCTTCGAAGATGTTTCCCTCTACTTTCTATTTCCCCATTTGTATCGAGAACATCAGCAGACGAGTCGACTTCGGGACGAGGATTTTCGCATATGGATGGACGACATCTTGCTTCCGATTATTTACGAGTATTACAGCAGTTTCCATGTCCAACACTACTCGTCGAGCTACGATCACAGTCGATATAACGCGACGGCTCGCGGCGTGGAGACTCGTGGTCAACGAATCGATCCGATATCGCGAGAACAGCAACTCATGTCTTATCTTCCTTCGGAACAATGGCCTCGAGTCTGGGAGTCGATCTTGATCGCGGTTCAACGGCCGGCATTTCGACAGTTTCGTGATGTCACGATTCTGTTACAAGCGAAAAATTTGAAAGTTTTGACCAAGGATACGACGTGGGAGCGAATGATGACGCGATTCTCTCAGTATTGGTTCGGTGCGGTGAATGAGGAGTACGTCACGTCGAACTTTTATTTTGATATGGCCACGGAAATATGTCCTACCCAAGCTTCTCGTGTGGCTTCATCGATACGCGTGCCCGATACGCAAGCCGAATTGGACGATCATCGAGACCACTCTGAGACTCTTCTCTGGAAGCGATGTTGTTTGGAGAACTGGAAATCATGGATCCAGCAGGGTCCGGCCCAAGATTCGACTGGAAAGGAAGTGTTTTATCCTCTCAGTATACTTCAGGACAGTGGAAGTCTAACCGTCGAGACGAGCCCTCGTTCTTGGCTTCGTGCTGGTGGTCTCCTCTTCAGCCAGCGCTACCCGAGCGTGAAGGAGATTTTTGCGGCGGGTCACATATATCCGTTCTCCAATACGGCGATTGAGACGTTGGCCTTGGACAAGAGTCTCCAACGGACGTGGGAGTTGGTTGGAGGAGGACTAAGTCACAATCCCACCGCTCTCATGAAGGCTTATTTGTACACCAAGCTTCGTTGTCACTTCGGGTTACGCGGGTCCGTCCGGAAGTCGTTCGGAGTTCGGACGGAGTATCGAGTTTCTCGAGAACTTTTCGAGGCCATTGATCGACAATTTCGTCTTCGACCGCAACATCATCGACTCTTGACGTGCTCGTCCGGCGCTCACGCTCCCTACTACCGCTTCACGACGACGACTCTAATTCGCTGGCTTCGATGGAACATCAACAAGTTTTGTGTCGGGTTCGAAATGGTGCACAGCTTTCAAGATGCCCATTTCGTCACATGGGAGCATACGCGTATGATGCTCGCCTTTCTTCGGTGCCTTCAATTCTCGTGTCCGAGCGGGCTGATTCAGAAAGTGGGTGGATGTTGGCACGACGTGCGATTTCGACCGGACTCCCGACAGACGGACGGTCTTCAACGGGTGGAGGGGTTGGGATTTCGACGAACCATGGAAGAATTTGGCTATGGGTGGTTTCTCGACAAAATTGACTGGGTGACGTTGACCTTTCGACCGCCTCATGCGGCTCATATGATGTTCAACAACCCATCGATGCAGGCGGCGTATCATGCCCGCTACGGCCAAGTCCGCGACGTGCGCCTGGACTTTATTCGGATGGGACGACAAGCCATATCGGATGCTCTTTCGACAAAGCTATTACGCCGTGACGGCGGCTCGAGGTCAAGCTCGTGCTCGAACGTGGCGACAGGAGCTCAAAAAGTCATTCATTCGGAGTCACTGGATGATGCCATATCCTCAAAAGAACGGATTTATGCGGAAAGATAAAGATACCAAA